TCCATCTTAAAATAAAAATAAATTTAAAACAAACAAACAAAACCAAACAGACAAAAAACTATCAGGGAACAGGTATTACAGTGGATATATGTCAACTTTGGCTATCCAGCATCTGAATGCCCTTCTGAATTGAGGGAAACTCAAGATAGACAAGAAGGAAGAACTACTTTCCACTAGAGAAGCTAAAGAGAAGTAAATGTTCTCTTTCTTCTTTCCCTGAAAGCCAGAACACAGAAAGGTAACAAACCTACCTAACCACAACTGTAAATACAAAGACATGAGGTCTAACAGGCTTATTCAGAGCAGATATAGAAGAATCAAGAATTCGAAGGCATGGCTATAAATGTCGCGGGGTGGGGCAGGGGGCAATGAAGTCTAGCAGTGTGTGATGACTGGCTGGTGAGCAGTGTCAGAAGCATACTGTCTTGTAGAGTGAGATACAGAAATCTTGGCTGTGCCCGGCTTTCCATCAATCCTGCCCAAGCCTAATTCTCTAATCTTCTTGTCAATTCTGTGAGCCACACAGTATTCATTATTCTTTTACTCACTTCTTACCTTAAGTTGGCCAGAGTTGGTTTTTGTTGTATGAACTAAGAAATCAGCAGCAGGGAGATCATCAGCAAGAGCCCCTCAGGTAATTACAGGCAATTTGAAATTGGTTTCTGGCCTAGTAGGGCTCAGTGAGTGTCGTATTAGTGTTCATGGAAGGGATTCTGCAAAGGTCTTAACAAGGAGCAGTGAAAAAACTGTTGACCACTTGTGGTCCCATGGAAAGCTCCAGGTGATTGAGAGAGTGCTGCCATGAATAAACCAATGTGAAGGGCAGGAAGAAGGCAAGACTATGAGGTAAAGCATCTGCTATTCTAAAGGCACAAGACAGCCTAAATCAAGAGAATATTAAGGTTGAATACCTATGAACTAGGCTCAAAGCACAGACTGAAACCCAGGTACTTTTAAGAAAAGGCTCTTTTCTCTCTTACAACAATAAAGCTGAGGTAGCTATAAAAACAATGCACAGTTTGATGCTCCAGATTGCTGAATTACAGATCAGTTAAATTTGTATCCATATTGGGACGATTATGGGAAAGTTGAAGCACTGGCTGGAAAGAGAGCAGGGCGGGGGGAGAATGAATTGGAGTGGAGGTTTACATACAGGAAGACGCAGAGGGATGGGAACATCCCAAATCCCTAATCCTCACGTAGGCCCTCTTGTGAGCAGTTTGAATGAGAGTGTTTCTCTCTTGCTTGAGGAGGCAGTAAAATCCCCCTGACTAAGGGAATTAGCTTGCAAGAGTAAATGAATTCCCACCTGCCTCACCCTTCCACATATACACTCTGCTCTCCTACCATCAGATCACAGCGTGCTCTGTGGGGTTGACTACAAACACATCAGAAGAATTATAAGAGTTTGGTTATACGGACAAAAATATAGGAAATTAGTAAAGGAATAGATTCTGAGCATGCTGATCAAGAAAGGAGAAGCAATTTTAGATCTCGCTGATGTTGCTGATATAGGTACATTACCAGAGATTCTGAGTTCAAAAAGCTAGCTTCAGTGGCTGGGAGTGGTTCTAAATTTTCATCTAGTTGGATGATTAGAAATTGGACTCATGGTGGTCTATGCTAAAGGAAGCTGAGATGCCATGAATTTGGGGAATAATGTAGAAGGAGAAAATAAAACACTTCAGGACACAGGAATCATGGAAATTATTTTCCAAGGCCTTGAAAAATACATTACTGAGTAGAACACTCACATCTTTGAACAATATTTTATAGGCCAGGAAGATAATGAAATCAGTTTGCCCACTTCAATTTCAAGAAGAATGGAAGAGACGAAGCAGTGACATTTAACCACTAGTGAGTGGTAAAGTAGGCATCATTACATAAACAGGCAGCAAGGCCAGAGTGGTAATTAAAATAGCTTGAATCTTTTACAGTAGCTAATTGGTCACAGTCTTTAGGATTAGAATAGATAGGTTATCTCACTTCATGGAGAAAGAAGTGTTTTCATTTGTAAAAGGACTACATTAGGACAGGTGAGAATAATTTTTTTATATATACAACTATGGGGAAAAGGTATATGCATAGATGTTGGATAGTCAAAGTGGCAGACTACAAGAGATGCTCTTTTTGCTGAATTGTTCCTATTTGGGGAAATGTCCCAAGACAGGGGAAGATTCTACCTTCCTCTCCCTATCTCTCTGAAGACAACATGTGAGCACATACCCTCAACATAGCCAATCAATTGGTCAGACACAGATTTCTGACCCTTGGGGAATGAGGCAAAGGTCAGTGAGCGATCATTTTCAGCACAGCCCGTGGTACAGCTACAAGCATCCGGAGTGAAAGCCTGGCCTTGTGGTGTCTAGGGAGGACAGTGTCAGCAGAGACACATGGGGCCAACTACAAGGTGAAACCTTGGCTGTCCTTGCTGCCCCCGGTTCCTGTCTACATCTGGTTACTCAGCTTGCCTAACAATTCTTGTAGTTTCTCAACATCCTTCTAATAAATTCCTCCTATGACTGAAGATGATTTCTGTGACCTGCATTTAAGAACATAGACCAGTGCAGGGGCCTATATCCACTTTAGGATAATTATGCTATCAGGACAGAAAACAACATACTCCCTGTACATATGCACTAGTCCCTGTAGCAGACGAAATTAAATAAACTGTAATGATGGACTTATGCTCAAAGCCCAAATCTTTACTTCTCCCACTAATAAGTTAGATGGAATCAAATGAAACTATAGATATTAGACTATTTTTTACCAAAACAAAACAAAACAAAATCCATGCTGCTTAACCTGGTATTTCTAGGTTGTATTAAAGGCATAGTAATATTTATTTCTCCCTACTTGGTTGTTCTTAGCTAACTTTAAAAAGCAATCTTCAAAATTCTTACCTAATTTTTTAAATGGTTAGGCTTTATTTTTTATTTATTTTTGCTAATGAACAAAATGTATTATTTATTTATTTTTATTATGTTCAGTTAGCCACTGTATAGTACATCATTAGTTTCTGATGTGGTGTTCAATGATTCATTAGTTGCGTATAACACCCAGTGCTCATCACACACGTGCCCTCTTTAGTACCCATCACCATGTTACCCCATCTTCCCACCCCCTTCCCCTCTGAAACCCTCCGTTTGTTTCCTGGGGTCCATAGTCTTTCCTGGTTCATCTCCCTCTCTGATCTCTCCCCCTTCAGATTTCCTTCCCTTCCCCTATGGCCTTCTGTGCTATTGCTTATGTTCCACATATGAGTTTAGGCTTTAAAATACTACTAACCAAATCACAAAATCTTTTTATAGAGTACTGAATAAGCCTTACAGAGGGTTAACCCCCTCAAAGCTTGTAAATAATAGAAAAGGCTGGGGAAAATTAGGTATCTTTAGTAAGAATGAATTAGAATTGCAGAGATTTGTAACCAGAAGGACCAACTGATTTGACTCACACACACTCCTAATTTGCATCCTATTTGTCTAATGTGATTTCATATTATTTGTTAAAGTTATTAAGGAAAGCATATAACATTTTTGGTAAGTGGTTCTAGTTACCAAAACCTAGAAACCAGTTTTGGGGGGTATTTTTTTTTCCTTGTGTTTTACCTATATCATACCTGCTACATTTCCTTTACATTTATGGAGTATTAAATGTAGCTCCTTCCCAGCCGTCATGCACTGTTGGTGGGAATGTAAATTGGTGCAGTCACTGTGGAAAACAGTGTGGAGGTTCCTCAAAAAATGAAGAATAGAACTACCATATAATCCAACTATTCCACTTTTGGGTATTTACCCAAAGAATACACAAACATTCATTTGAAAAGATATATGCACCCCTATGTTTACTGCAGCATTATTTACAATAGCCAAGATATGGAAGCAACTCAAGTGTCCATCAATAGATGAATGGATAAAGAAGATGTGGCACACACAGACACACACACAAATACACACACGTACACACACAATGGGATATTATTTAGCCACAAAGAAGGGGGGATGAGATTTTGCCATTTGCGACAACATGGATGGACCCAGAGGATATTATACTCAGTGAAATAAATAAGATAGAGAAAGACAAATGCCATACGATTTCACTTATATGTGGAATTTAAAAACCAAAACAAACAAGCAAAAAGCAGAATCAGACCTACAAATACAGAGAACTGGCAGTTGCCAGGGAGAAGGGGGCTGGGAGATGGGCAAAATGGGGGAAGGGGAGTGGGAGATACAGGCTTCCAGCGATGGCATGAATAGAAGGCACGGCACAGGGAATATAATGAACGGTACTGTAAGAGTGGTGTGTGGTGACAGATGGAAGCTGTACTTGTGGTGAGCACAGCACAACACAGAAACTTGTGGAATCACCATGTTGTACACATGAAACGACCGTGACATTGTGTGCCAACCACACTCAAATAAAAAAATAAATGAATATAAAAAAAGGCAGTTCCTCCTCAAACCATGTATATTACCTCTTCATATACTGAAGGCAATTACAAATTCAGCCCTCAGCATTTCTCTTCATATTCAACCATCCTAATTCCTTTAGTATTTCCCCAAAGAGTCTGTTTTCTAGTCCTCTCCTCATATTCTCTAAACCTAATGCCTATTTGCCAAATCTTCCAAATTGCAGAACTTAGTATATCCTGAAAGCAGATCAATGTGAAAGAAGACACCAGTTCTGGGGGTAGGTGGAGATGTGTCCCTGGAGAAGAGGCTCAAACAGGAATCAATGATATGGAGTATGGAGTGGAAGTAGTCGAATACTTACCCAAACATTCTTAATACAAGTGCAAGGCTAGAAGAAATACACTGTGGAAAATGAGATAAAATGGGTTTGCTTTGTGTTTCTTCCTTTTTTTTTTTTTCTTTTACCTATCACCAAAGTCCTCTAAGAGGGTCCAGTAACAAATTATTAGATTTGCTCTAAAACAATAGTTCTTAAATTGCCTCAATACTTGCTAAAATGTTGTTAAACCGATGAGGGGTTTTTACCTGAATGGCACTTCTTCCTGGGGAACATCCACATAGTAACGGATAAAAAATCTCTCAGAATCTTCTCGCTCACCATCGGTAACAACACTGCCATTAAGTTTGGAAACTGATGGCAATCTGTAAGTAAAAACCAAAATAAAGGCATTTTAAGACAGTGAGAATATTTAGCTTTAGAAATAAAATCATTGGTTTGAGGCCCCGTCTTACTCTCTTGAGAGGACACATTTGATATAACTCTGCTCATGTACAACTACTTACATGAACTAAAGTGGTATAGAATAAAAGGACCAAAAATATCTAAAGTTTCATTTTTACATGGGACACTGACCTTTTATAATTATACCTTACCTTTCAAAATAAGATTCTAGCCAGCACTGTCCAACTTAAATATATAATACAAGCCACATATATAATTTTAAATTCTCTAATAGCCATATTTAAAAAAATAAAAATAAAACAGGTGAGATAGTTTTATTAATATATTTTATTTAATCCAACAGATCGAGGATTTAATCATTTCAACCTGCAATCAATACTAAAAAATAACTAATAGGATATTTTACATTCTTTTTTCATATAAAGTATTTGAAGGCCAGTATATATTTTACACTTAGAGCACCTTTCAGTTCAGAATAACCATAATTCAAGTGCTCAAAAGTCACACAGGGCTAACAGCACCATAGTGGACAGCGCAGGTCCCCAAGTAGTCAGGACAAATGGGTTCTATTGTTCAGCAATTAATTTATTATCTTTACAAAAGAATTATGTAAAGAAAATAAAGCATAAGGTCTACTACAAGCCTTATTCTTTTTAGAAGAAAAGTATGCTGAAATGTATTTCTTCAGTGAGATATTAGTGTGTATGTCCACAACCAGAAAGCACTAAGGGTCTGCTAGGTGTTAGCTGGGCAGGAAGATCAACACCCTGTTTGAAGAACCACTCTTCTTTAGGGAACTGTAAAGCCCCTTTCAAAACTACTATGCATAGTACACAAAGAAAACAAATGAAAGCTCCAAGGCCCTTTATATCTTAGCCATAATCTTATCGTTGCTGAAGGCTCAAACCTAAATCAACACTCATTTCAACGGTCTTGGGAGGCAGAGTCAGTGACACAAAAGGCTGGGGAGTCAGAGGAAGAATATAACGATGCGGTGGTCATGTTTGAGTCAATCTGTATTCAAGATGAAAACACAGATGCTGCTCTCTTAAGTTTCACACTAATGAAACAGCCCAATTTTTACGTAAAATTTACACTTTACATTACCACTATGTTAACAGAGAAAATAAAGACAACTAAAATAGAACTCATTCTCTATTACACCTAATTTTTCTTCATAATCCAAAATAGGACTTCGAATATTGTAAATATTAAAAGGTATAAAAATAGAATAGATTTGGGAGGGAATGTTTCAGTGGTCTTGGCAAGCCAATTACCTTTTACATCTTTCTTACCATATTGTGTTCCTTTTCTTCTAGGATTTGAAGCTACAGAAGCAGCTCCTTCAAGCACTGTCTGTTCAAGAGACAGATAAACTTACAGTGCACTCCCCCCAATAGTGCATTATCCCTCTAATGAAACAAGGCCTGAGAGAAGAAAGGAGAGTAATCAGGACAACAGACCTGGCTATTACCAATTTCCTCCGCTCCTCGGTGGTATATGGCTGCAGAAGAGGAATTCCTAACAATCTCACTTCTTCAAGTTTGGGAAATGAATTTAGTTTGTCAATGTCTTCCCAGGACTGCAAACCTAATTTGAGAAATATATTGTTTAAGTAAATCCATAAAAGCACACCAGTAAGAAGATGAACATAAAAAAATTACTTCAATTAATTTCTGAAATGTTAAAATCCTTATAATCTAGTTAGAGATCCTAAAAATTTTCTTCATCCAAGGAAAGAACAGAATATAGTTAAACACCATAAAAACTTCCCTATGGCCTCTCCTATCCCTGTGATCCCAGTGGTCAAGGAGATAGAACTTTATTTCCAGCATCCCACTAATGTACTGATTCTCCCCCCAAAGGATTTGTAAAGAGGGTCTCTGGTGTTTTCAATAAGTAAGACATATGCCGTGATTACATAAAAAAGGTGATGTGGTCAACTCTTTCATCAAATATAGACTCACAGAACAGAACTACTGATCAGAGTTGATACAGTCAGACTCAAATTTTTACCCAACAAATTCTAAAATGGGGCAAGTTCAGTAGAACCAGAAACTAAATATTATCTTTCTTAGAAACTGTCCTCATTTTGGGGACAGGGAAAACAGATTTTAAAAGTAAAACAAAAACAGAGAACCTGAACCACTGGGTAAGAAGAACATGCAACAAATTAAAACTGTTTCATGCTAAAAAAAAAATATTCTTCTTACGGCTGTGAGCAAATATATCATCCAAGTCGATACTTGGCACTGCCAGGAAAAGTATGCCTATAATAACGAAGCTGGTCAATTTTATAATACGTTAAATCTATTTAGGAGAATGCAGTCCCTTCCTATTTCTATCCACCTGCAGCAAGGGCAAAAGCAGAGGGGCAATATACGAGGGCTCTGGTGCATAACTATCCCAAGTCACAACTGTTCTCTTCCCCTCAGAATGGTATTTCCATCTAGGAGGAAGAACAGAGTTAGCTCAAGGGGTGTCGAGTTGTGCAATCAACAGCTTCCTTATGCAAAATAATGGTTTTTAAAACCTAATTCCTACTCTTATGACTTCTATGGCAAATTAAACTATGTTTTTTCAATTGTAGATTAGAGTTATTTTTAGTTACGAAGTTATTGTAAGAAATAGGCTGAAAGACAATGTCTAGAGAATGAGAAGAAAAGCCACAGACTGGAAGAATATATTTGCTAAAGACATATCTGATAAAGGATCGTTATCCAAAATATGCAAAGAACTCTTAAAACTCAACAATAAGAAAATAAACAACCCAAATAAAAAAATGAGCAAACGACCTGAACTGACACCTCACCAAAGAAGATATACAGATGGGACGTAAGCATATGAAAAGATGCTCAGTGTCATATATGTCATTAGAAAATGCAAATTAAACAAGGTTCCACTACACACCTATTAGAAGGGCCAAAATCCAGAACACTCACAGCACCAAATGCCAATGAAGGCGTGGAGCAAGAAAAACTCTCATTTATTGCTGGTGGGAATGCAAAATGGTGCAGCCACTTTGGAAGACAGTTGGCAGTATCTTATAAGACTAAACATATTCTTACCATATAATCTAGCAATTGCACTCCTCGGCATTTACCCAAATGAACTGAAAACTTATGTCCACACAAAACCCTGCACACGGAGGTTTACAGCAGCTTTTTTAATAATGCCAAAACTTTGAAGCAACCGAGATGTCCTTCAGTTTGTGAGTGGATAAACAAACTGTGGTGCATCCAGACAATGGGACATTACTCAGTGCTAAAAAGAAATGAGCTATCAAGCCATGAAAAGATATGAAGGAAATTTAAATGCACATTCTTAAGTGAAAGAAGCTGATCTGAAAAGGCTACATGCTGTATGATTCCAGCTATCTGACATTTTGGAAAAGGCGAAACTATGGAGCCAGGAAAAAGATCAGTGGTTGCCAGCGATTGAGGGGTATGGGGAGATGAACAGGCAGAACATAGAAGTTTGTTAGGGCAGTGAAACTACTACGAATGATACTATAAAGGTGGAGACATGTCATTATACATTTGTCCAAACCCACAGAATGTGCAACACCAAGAGTGAACCCCCATGTAAACCGTGGACTTTGGGTGATGTGACAGTGTAGGTTCGATTACAAGAGATGTATCACTTTGGTGCTGGCACGATGACAGTGGGACGGCTGTGTGTGTGAGAGCAGGGAGGATGTGGGAATGCTGTACTTCCTGACCAGTTCTGCTGTGAATTTAAAACTGTTCTAAAAAAATGAAGTTTATTAATTTAAAAAAATAGGCTAAAAATATGCATTCCCGTGAGACACAGAACCGGATGGCAGCAAACTGGCAATCGATCATACATAAATACTAGAAAAGAAAAGTGAGCATTTATAAGGCATAGTAGGGTGAAATTCCTTAACCTAAATCCAGACAAAATAGTCTAGTTTGTAATTCTTCGTACTCCTCCCACTCTGCCTTTTACTGTCCAATTCATCAATTTCATCTCACTCCTTTCATAGCAGGATCTCTTCAATAGATAAAATATAAATAGCTAATAGGATGCTCTGCCACTTGATATTTATCAGAGCATTTATGAAAACGAATGCCTTAAATTTAGCTAATCAATAGGTATCTGCATATCACTCGTGAAAATGCATCCTGTAAGAAGGCAGAGCCACGACTACAAGAAATAGGCTTTCATTTATTTCATGCATAAGCTCAGATCGATTTGCACGTAGAACGAGAACAAGCCTGGACCTCACCTGACTTGTGGAGGCTGATGGATCGCAGATTAGGGAACAACCTGGCCAGTGAATCATCAGGCTCCTCAATAGCATTCAAATGATTGTTAGCCAGGACGAGAGTATCCAGTGAAGGAAACATAACTCCTAACTTTCGGATTTCAGTCCAGTCTTGGAGGTTATTGTCTGTTATATGTAGTAGCTTAAGAGAATGACAGCAAATAGAAGGACAAGACACTGTTTCATAGTCATTAAGGCACAGGAAGAGCTCCTCCAAACTGCAGAGAAAAAAGGAAATATTTCATTGTTTAAAGCAGTTAAGTTTCTACTTTGCAGCTACTTTCATTTGTTCAGTAAGTGCCTACTATGTGGGAGACTCTGGTAGGGATTGTGGAGAAAATATAAAGATGTCTTCCTAAAGCTTAAATACGGCTGGGAAGACAAAACCTAAAACACATAAAACAGCAGAGAATGATACAACCCAGGACTAAATTAATTTTGTGCTTAAATAACTAAGTGCTAAATAAAGCTTTACTAACTCCACGTACAATAGCAGTTCATACAGGAATGGAACTGAAATTGCAGTTAGCATACTCAGGAAAGAATACATGGCCTGGAAGGAAGGCTAGACTTGCATAAGTTGCAAGGACATAGAGGAAAATCCCATGAACAGCATGAACAAAATGTTTAGAAACAGAAATAATAACTATCATTTACTGAATTCCTACCCTGAGGCAGGCCCTGCTCCAAGTGCTTCATAGACTGTCCTGCTTTTTCTGCAAAGTAGATACAGTTATGTCCATTTTACAGACAAGGAAACAGAGCTTACTGAGTGAGGCTAATTACCTTATCAGAGGTCGTATGGCAGTAAGTGGAACTGGGACTTAAAAGCTCATGCTACGCCATGCTAGATGCTGCATGCGGTGAGGAAACCAATCTCTTTAGAGGGATAGTGAGAAACTTGGATGGAATAAATGGGGAGAGAGCAGATTCAAAAGGCCTTGATCATTTCTGTAGTTAGACAAAGAAACTATAGTTTCATATATTTCTTTAAACTACTTCCTTTGAACACTTACGTGCATACTCTAAGCTAGATACAAACAAATCTAAGAAAGTATTTCTAAACTGACAAACAAAAACATAATTTCTTGTTTAAATTATTGAAAAGAGTTCCATTCTTCCATCAGGTCAGCGAGGCACTTAATCATCTGAGTGTTAATATATTTTATAGATACCGTGATTTTTTTTCCTCCCAAAGAAAAGCACTGAGGCAAAATTCTGAAACCAGGTAACCAGAAGATTAAAATGGAGAAAGGGTAGGTTGATGTTGAAATGATAAGTGCTTCTCAGGGATATTTTCTAGCCAAAGGATGACAGATCCTATGTCTTGGTGCTACTCAACACTGAACAAGTCTTGCAATGAAAATGCTACTAAATGACCTTCACACCCTCGTTCTAATTACTTCATTCTTCTGACCTCACTCTCTGTCCACTCTGCTGTTCTAGTGTTTCTGAGATGGGAGATCAGCAGTAATTCTATGTACTAGCAAAGATGGCGACATTGCCCCCTCTCCATCATGCCTCTGGGCTTACTCTGGTAACTCCTGCAGTATCGTGTGGACTGTCTCCCAAGAAGCTTTGCTGTTGTTGAGGACAAGTTTGCGAACCCCAGAGAAGGACCCAGCACATGTTCTTTCTAAAACCGACAAATTCAGAGGGTTGGAACTCAGGTTTAGAAACTCCAACTGGGGAACATTTGACACAATTTTACTGACCTAGGGAGAAAAAAAGAAATGCATATCAGGCAGTAATCAGAGTTTTTAAATAGCAATCATGCTCACAAAGCTTAAGTGAGTGGGTCTCTAGGAAAGGGGCCATTCATATTAGGGAGTCCTGTGTTAGTGATGGTACCTAAAGAGGGGCAAAAGTAATTTCAACAAATCTTGGCAAATAATTTAATCTTTCTATGAAATAGTGACATAATTGAAAATTAATGGTACAAAAGAAAGACGTTCCATGTTGCCTTGGGCAAGGTTTTTGATTTTGTTCTATATGATATTCTCTTTGATAAATGGAGAAAAAAACAGTTTAGAGGACATTTTAGACTGCAAGTTTCTAAAGAGCTGAGACTGGGTCATGTAATTCTCTTTGAATTTCTCCTTCCTTCTGTCCTCAGTACAACATTAAGGCTAATTAAAGGTTTACTGAAGAACACATGGTAACAGCTCAAGTGTTCAAAATTGACTGACTACATAGCCACGATCACTTAGAAACAGTTTCAGCTTGGTTAAAAGATGACCAAACTTCAAAATATATATACTCAAAAACCAAAAAGCATCTGTAACTATATCAGAAAAGAGAAAACATGATTATCGATTTAACGATTTAGCTAGCAACTTCGTAGGCAAGATTTTTTTTAAAAAAAGGAAGTCAGCATTACTGACGTTAACTATTTGCTCTGTATAGTACTAGCCTCTTTGATACAGACTATATCACTCAGTTCTCAAAACAACTTGTAAGATAACTATTTTCATGTTAAATAATGAGGAAACTGACGCTCGGAAATGTTAAATAATTTGACTAAGGTCTCAGCGACACAAAAACCAAATCTAGGATTTAAAAATCAGAGCCACTACAACAAAAACTAATAACATAATAAAAAAATAAATAAAAATCAGACCATTGTTCTTCCAGCATACCACCACTAGTAAATTATAAATATACCCCGAAAAAAAAAAAAAAGAACTAGCTTAAACAAGTAGGAAGTAAATGTTAGAAGCCCAGTAAATGGATTAAGCATCAATGTGGTAACTAAACTTTATGAGAAAAGAAGTACAACAGAATAGTTAGGATTGGTTTCACAGTCAAAAAACCTGGGTTCAAACCAGGTTCCAACACTTCCTAGCTGTGTGGTCTGATGGGTTATTTCACCTTCCCAGGTCTCAGTGTTCTCATTTGTAATACAGAGAAAACAGGACCCACCTGTTTCCCAGGACTGTGGATTGGATTAAATGAGATACATGTGTAAAGCACTTAACACAGTGACTGGTACACCTTTTAGAAATTTATTTCCTTACCTATTCCCTAATAGGATATAAACTCTATGAAAGCAGGGATAGTACTTACCTAGTTCACTACTGCATAGTAGGCGCTTAATGTTTGCTGAATAAATTAATGGCACAAAATCATTCAGTAAATGTTAACTAACATAATAAGTATAGTATGAACCAACATGTCAACCCTAGCTATATGTTATATTGTATTTATTTTTATTCTAATATGTCCTATTTAAAATCATTGGTATGGGGTGCCTGGGTGGCTCAGTCTGTTGAGTAGCTGCCTTTGGCCTGGGTCATGATCTCGGGGTCCTGGGATCGAGTCCCACATCAGGCTCTCTGCTCAGCAGGAAGTTGGCTTCTCCCTCTCACTCTCTCTCTCTCTCTCAAATAAATAAATAAAATCTTTTAAAAATAAAATAAAAATAAAATAAAATCCTTGGTATAATTTCAAAAATACACGAATTCCCAGGTTCTACCATAAACTGCTAAATCAGGAGCTTCAAAGATGAGTTAAGCTTCATGGTTGGGACCTGGATTCGGTTTCTTGTCGGAGCTCCATAGGTTATGCCAAAAAGGCAGCCAGCGTTGAGAACTATGGGTGGAAAGAAAAAGTAGTGTGCACTTCACCTCAGATTTGTGCAGACCACACAGGTCAGGAGCTCTAAAATCACCGCGAAATGGACTAATTCCAAGAAGGTTCAGAGTAGGTCAGAGGGGCCGGTCCTCATACTAGTTCAGCTATGCCACACACTAACCTTGTGAAGTGGGACCATTTTTATCTTCATTTTGCAAATGAAGAAATGAGCTATTTTTTAGAGAAAAGCACGTTAGGCTTCAGTTTAAAATGGAAGTAATTTATACCAGTCTGTGCATATTCTCTTGCCTGATCCCTGTAGTGATCAAATGGTACCAAGCATTTGTGTGACGTACGGCCAGGGTTTGGAGTGGAGTCTGTGGCTACAACACAGCTAACTGGTCCACACACTGACCGGTCCTCTACCGCCTGAATACCAGTGCTGTGAAGGGCTCCCACACAGGGATGACGGCCGCCTGGCTTCAGCTCTTTTAAGGGCAAAAGAAGATGGAGAGGAATTGCACTCCAAGTACAGCATGAAGAATAACCAATTATCATATAACCCCAGTTAAATAAAAACAAAACATAAACCTCTTGCTAACCACCACTCCTCGTATTTTATTTTTATAATAAAAAGAAAAAATATCCCCAAATGGATAATTTAAAGGGTTTTGAAGGAATTCTCCCAGAAACTATGTGATAAAATCTTCATATTTTGCATCTATGCTGCTGTCCCGTGATAATAACCATTTAGAATAATGACTCATTAGCTTTGGAATAGTCTAAAAAATTGCAACTGGACTACAGTATAATAATTCAAACAGGAAAAAATAATGTATTTTAGAAATAAATAAATAAATACATTCTTTAAGAGGCTAAAGTTAAAAAGGATTTGGGGGTAACCTTAAGTTAACGATAAGATTTTAGAAAGTATATTAATTACACAGGGAAATTTACTACTAAAAAAAAAATGTCCTAACAGCAAAGTTTGCCAAACAAACATTCAGGAAGTCTCTGGGACAGTACACGGACTTACCTTTCTTAAATTCTAAAAAATCAAAAGGAAAAAGACTGGTCTAGCTACAGAGTTACAGTTGACCCTTGAACAATGCAGAGGTTAGGGGGCACCAACACCCTACAAAGCTGAAAATCATCAGGTAAACTTTGACTCCTCCAAAACTTAATTACTAACAGCATACTGTGGACAGGAAGCCTTACAGATAACGTAAACAGTTGATTAACAGTTTGTATTTTGCGTGTATTATAGACTGTATTCTTACAATAGAGTGAGCTAGAGAAAAATTTTTGTTTTGCTTTTGTTTTGTTTTAGTAACGTGTTTTATTTTGTTTTCACATAGAGAAATATAAAGAAAACTAAAAAACACTATAAATTCAACAGCCCACTATCCTCAGTGATGTTAAAACAATAACAAAATGTTCACAGTTATGATATTTGAACAGAACAAATGAAATTTTTGTGATTCTTCCCAGAAAAAAAAATGTATGCATATTCCAACATATACACTTACATCTCTAGATATTTTAGAATTTTACACAAAAGAGACCCTCTTGGGGTGCCTGGGTGGCTCAGTCAGTTAAGTGTACAACTCTTGATTTCAGCTCAGGTCATGATCTCAGGGTTGTGGGATTGAGCCTGTGTTGGGCTCTGTGCTGGGCGTGGAGCCTACCTGGTACTCTGTCTCTCCCTCTGCCCCTCCTTGCCCTCTCTCTCTTTTTCCCCATCTCAAAAAAAAAAAAAAAAGAGCGAGCCTCTTTTACACCAAACCTTTTTTTAATGTTTCAAGTTTTAATTTAAATTCGAATTAGTTAATAGATAGTGTAATATTGGTTTCAGGAGTAGAATTTAGTGATTCATCGCTTACATATAACACCCAATGCTCATCACAAGTGCCCTCCTTAATTCCCATCACCCATTTAGCCCCTCCCCCACCCACCTAGAGAAAATATTATTAAGAACACCATAAGGAAGAGGAAATTTATTTACAGTACTGTCCTGTAAGAAGTCTGCATGCAAACAAACCCATGCAGTTCAAACCTGTGCTGTTCATGCGCAGAAACATGGAGATGAACTTACATGACCTTCTAGGTCTCCACAGTTCTATGATTTAATTGAGGACCCTCTAACTCTGGCTTCTAAAAATGAAGAAACTAAAGTTTTAAGAAAAATGGGGAAAGGGTTGTAAGATAACCATCTGTAACTTATACCCAAGCTATTCTCTGCCTCACCTGAGGGGCTAATTCCTCTCTCCTCTCAACTACTTCGTTTAATTTCTTTTATAAAATGGTTTTGATAAGGAAGGGAGGAAAAAGGAGATGCCTTGAGAAAGGTGAGACGAAAATTACTTAGCTAAAATTCAAGTCAAGACCTAAAAAATGCATCTTTTTTCACACGTGGATGCCCAATTTTAGAAGGATGGAGACAGATCTTTGCCTCCCTCCACAGTATTACACCTCTCAGTGGTATTTATCTTTATCTCTGGATATCCAGCAGCCAGTAGTTTAAACTACAAAAGAGGTTACTTAAAACATTAGTCACCACTCAAAAGACTCAAAGAACAAACTATATTATTTTTGTCCCACATCGCTATCTCAAATACAGGCCAAAATAAACTTACTTAATGGCCAGGGACAAATTATCTTTTTGGTAATCAGGTATACGGGTTGCAGTGGGATTGAAATGTAATGCCTTAAAACTGTGACCTATGAGGCATTGGTAGCCTGGCAAAGAGTTTAATCAATCCTAAAAATCAATATGCTTCTGCTGTCAGTACTTCTCCCACCTCGCTGTGCTCTGATAGATATTCTAGAAGATTGGAATCAACTACAGTTAAAGCAAAGGACAAAAAATAAAGGAATGATGAAAACAAAAATAAATTGGAAGATAGAAGCCTGAAGGGTAGAGCAGCGAAGACTTATTTGAAAACTGCCTGGAAACAGACTATAGAGCACATGTAAGAAGATACAAACTGAGCACAAAGGAACATAGGACCCTCTGTCCATATATGTCCATGTGGCCTGGAAAATATTTAGCATAGACCTTTGTCTAAGCAGAGAATAGGCTGAACTGCCTAGTGTGAACTTTGTGTTCTGATCCATATTGACATAGATTGTTCTTCGGAGGCAGCAGCTATAACACTACGAAACTGTTGGCAGTTGGCAAAAGCCTAGCTTATGTACAGGGTCAGAGCACAAAGCACAAAACCTTTCTGAAATTTTACACTCCCAAAGAAACACATTTAAGGGAATCAGCCTACGAACATAGGTGAAAAGATGCAGAGGAAGATGTGGTCTGACTTGTCGCCCATGCAGGTTAAAAACTCTCACCAGACGTTCAGCAGCAGACTACTGTGGGAATCAGGCAGGAGGATGAACAAGGCAGTTCTTTTGGCATCTGTGCAGTGTGGACGGAGCACGCACGTCACTTAAGCATCTCAAAGGACCAAGAAGGCACAGATTGTAATTTGTGGCACAGTGAACTAGACCAGTTGTTTAGATAAATGAATTAATAAATAAACACATGTACAGAGACTATTTCTTGGAAGAGCCCAGTAAATCTGCATATATTAACAAGTCACTTAAAAATCAAACAACATGCATCTCAAAGAATTTGGTAAACATCTCAATAAAAATAGGAAATACAACCAGAAGCACAGTTATCAGATTAAGCTAGACTATGAAATAGATAAATGTAAGAAAAGCTGAAGAAAACTAGATTATAAAGAGATTTTTCTCAAACAAAAAAGCTGTCTTAGAATTTGTATAGCATTTAATATCTACAAAGCACCTACATGATTAATTTTATCTGCAGCCCTGTCTTAGGGTTGAGCAAAGTGAAGCACTAAAGGATTAAGTGAGTTTCTTAAGATCATAGGAAGAGTTGAAGCAAGTGGTCTTGATCAATCCTTAAGATGCAATCATTTGTTCATTAATGCATTCAACAAACATTTGAGTACCTAGTATGACACTCTGGGTGCTGATGGTAATAAAGACAAAAATCTCTACTTTGAATAAACTCACAGTCTAGTAGGAAAACTGTCAAGTAAGCAAGAGATTGCACTACACTGTGATAAGTGATTGCATTTATCACAGCATCGTGATTTAGGTACTGGGATAATCTGCCTCTGCCTGAGTGAGAGCCAGGGAAAGTTTCATTGAGGAATAGCGACTTGGACCAAGTCTTGAAAGATACATAGGAGGAGATCAGGTAGACAAGGAAAAAGAGCAGTAGATTCAGAATGAATAAAAGCAAGGAAGCTTTTCATGTCAAGAGTTTATCATGAGCTGCAAGAAAAAGCATACGGCTAAAGATGGAGATAAAGCTCTAAAAGTAGGCAAGAGCCATATGGTGGAAGGCTACATTTAGAGAGTTCAGGCCTTAGTTTCTTGGCAGTGAAAAGCAACTACAGGACTTCAAGAAAGAGTGTCATAATCTTATTTCATTGATTAAAAGGAGTCTGGTTGCACTATAGAAGATAGCTTACGGGAAGCAGAATAAAACCAGAGTCAGGAAAATCCATCAGGAAGCTTTCTCAAGAAAGAAGATCCTAAATTAAGGCAGGGGAATGAATCAAGGAGAAAGAACTATTTTTCCCTGATTCATAAGCATAGCTTCCACGAGGTAATGTTATCATCAGGTAGGCAATGTTACATACAATAATAAGAAAGAATGTTGTAACACTTTTATTTGTGTACCTGGTGTGCCTTACTCTGAGATGAAAAGACATCAGTTATGTCAAAACAACTAGGAGACTTCATAAAATAAGGAAAAGTTCTAAAATATTTGGGTGAATTTCAGTACCAAAAATAAATATTTTTGCAATCTGAGTTTCGAGCGCAAGCAATTTTTATGTCAATTTAGAGCACTAAATGCTGAAGTGGTGGTACAGAATGAACACAGGATATGCACACTAGTGAGACAGTAAAAAGCCCAATGTATTGTTAGCAGCCTAAACCTCTATGGTTTTATTAACCTCTTGATACCTGGAAAAAAGCTCCCCAGTGCTTTCCATATTAATGAAAAACAAATTAGCAATAGCAATGTTAACTGAAAAAATCACCACAGAACAGCTGAAGCAGTCAGTTATTTATCTTGAGACACAGAAACGAGAATCTCAAGTGAGAACCAGAATTCAGCAGAAGTCGCCAAAATGCGGGAATATAAAAACTACCTCATGCCAGTCTTCGAGTTTGTTGTCAGAAAGATCTAGTTCCGACACATGAGCACAGAAGGCAGCAATTTCTTTTTCGTCTCCTGCACATGTTATTCCACAGCTGTTCAACACGAGCACACTTGGGAGGTTGAGGCGATCTGAATCATGGGGGAAACACAACACTCTTTAAATCAGCCTAATTCTTGTCTAACATATATTCAGCCCCCAGGAATCAAAATCAAATAGTTGGAAATTACACGAGGACCTGAGGAAAAAACAAGAGAATATGTTGCGGTCCAAGGGTCCTGAATTCTAAGGGGAAACAGCCAAATATGGCCCAGAAGGAGATTAAAAATACTGGACCAGTACCACCAAAAAAGTCTTGTAGGCTTTACCCCTGGCAGGATGGTTGATCTCAACTACCAACAATACAACTATGATCCTTGCTGTCATCTCATCATCTGAACACTAGAACATGTGATTCATCTGGACTCCCACTGTCTTCTAATTAGCCTCAATTCTTTCTTTTTTTAAATTTAGTTCAAAAGTATCATTCTGGAGAGCTCTCTTTTTGTCTGATGTATATTTCCACCTATTGCTGCCCTTGAAAATTATCTCAAACCATTAGATGGTCTACTATGAAACCACTTCTGTTCCTCAAATTCATATCATTGAAGAAATCTTCCTTGCTTAAGTGGATCCATTTAAAAATCTAGGTCTCTTTCTTGTCTATCAATCATTTCCATTTCATATCCACATAGAATGTGTGCCTTATGAAAATCAGACTTTTAAAAATACGTAATTGTAGTGGGAGAAACTGTTTCAGAGTCTTAAACTATTTAATGAATTTGGTCAAACTGGGGTAAACTACTGCCTGATTCAAAAACACGTGTGTCAATAACCACGTTTGTCCTCTTAGAAAGGACAGACATGAGAATCCAACTACTTTTTCCCTCTTTGGTATAAAATAAGGACTCAGGAAATATTTTATTCATGGAGGCCTCAAATTACATAATTTTTCAACTCAGTACTTTTCTCTATCAAATTTTTCAGAATGGGAATGGATCCTGAAAAAAAAAAATGACCAAGTAAAAAATCTACCTCTTTCTGCCATTCCAGTTTATATGGAGTGGTAAGACAAGTTGTATCGAGGAACACAAGAACTAAAACACTGTTCCATCCTGATCTCCCATACTCACAAAGAACTACTTCTAAGAACTATTAAGTACAAATGAGGCTAAGATGTAAGTGAGAGACACACCTTGCACATTTCTCCATGTTGTAGATCTCTCCAACGCCATAACCCTTCTCCTAGAATGTCTAGATCTCCCCTCTAACCAAGTTCTATATTCTTAAAGGGTTAGTTCGAGTCTCATAGCTTTGACTCCTTTCCTGATCATACTAATTAACACTCTCCTAAATTTTTGTGCCAATCATTTGGTTCAACATAAGCTGCCTTGTGTTATATGTCTGTAAATGTGAATATCTTGTAATCCAGTCAGGCTGTAAGGTTTTTGAGGACACAGACCAGTCTTGTACTGTCTTGCATCCTCTAAGTTCCTCGACAGAATATGTATTTGAAACCTTACCACTCAAATATTGTGTCCTGTGCAACTAAGACGCCTTCTGGCCAGTCAGGAGGACAAGAAATCCTTTTGAGTTTTTCAAAAAATTGAAGTCATGACAAGGGAGACTATGCAATTCTAATTCCGAAATAAAGGAAATAATCTGCAAACAAGACAATATTCTGGTTTGAGGTCCTAAGTACTGAGTTCCAGTAAGTAAATGTTTTAAGTCACATCTTTCTTACCTTTCATAGGAGAGCCCTGAGGTGTGGCTGGGACATGGACTCCCATCCCAGGACCACGACGGTAAGGGAAATTTTCAGGACTATATTTTTCACATAATACTTGCATAAAACTCCTTCCACTAGGCTGATCCATCTTCCTTTCCTAAAATTCTAGAAGAAACCAAGAAATCATCAAAGTTATTTATTTGCCATATGAGAAACTTTTATTGCTAACCCATTATTTATAAGACACTAGCCCAGGCCTTGCAGACATATAAGACACGGTCACTGTCCTCAGGAATTTACACTGTGGTGAGACCTTATGATTTAGGGGAGCTATATATGCAGAAAAATGACAGCAATGCAGTTCAGCATATGATAATTTTACAATACAGATTAACAGTGCCACAAGATGTATATGAGGAGACAATCATTTCCAGTCAAGGGTAACAGGAAGACTTTTTGCTGGTATATAGGGTTTATGTGGTAAGTAAGAGGAAAAAGGACCAAAAAAAAAAAAAAAAAGTGCAGACTCAACATCAGACTAAAGAGTTTGTATGAAGCCTTTGATATTTATCCCTCAAAATCCGTTCTCCTCTTCTTCCATAGTAAAAGAATTTTTTTTAAGTAGGCTCCACACCCAGCATGGAGCCCAATGCAGGGCTTGAACTCACAACCCTGAGATCAAGACCTGAGCTGAGATCAAGAGTTGGACATGTAACCGACTGAGTCACCCAGGCACCTCAGTAAAAGAATTTTTAACTGTGTACATAGTACTTAGGAATGAATATATGGCTAAGTTCTAGTTGATGGGATAGAAATAGTCTATGGCAGCTTCTGGGAATCATCCTTAAAAGACAGCCAGAGTGTACCCTTTGCCTCCTTTGTCTCTGGGTCGATTCTTTTGCCTAGAAAACAAATGCTACTTGGCACTATGGGCCCAAGGAACACACCCTCAGGAAGGTGGAGCAAAGAGCTGAAAGGAATTTTTTTTTTAAAGATTTTATTTATTTATTTGACAGAGAGAGACACAGTGAGAGAGGTAACACAAGCAGCAGGAGTGGGAGAGGGAGAAGCAGGCTTCCTGCTGAGCAGGGAGCCCGAAGCAGGGCTCAATCCCAGGACCCTGGGATCATGACCTGAGCCGAAGGCAGATGCTTAACGACTGAGCCACCCAGGTGCCCTGAGCCAAAAGGAATTTAAGTCCCTGAGGACTTCATGGAACTGAGCTGCCACAGTGGTGCTGGACTGCATATCTCTGGAAATTTCAGTGAAAGATACATAACCCTCTGTTTTATTTAAGCCACTGTTCAATTTTTCAGTTACTTACGAATGGACCCAATCCTGACTAATACAGAATGTCATTTGTTTTGGTTTTGAGTTTGGGTAGAGCCTTCACTGTCTAACTTCAGCTACGGGTCCAACTCCAGCATCCTCTCAGTACTCACACATAGGTTAAAACA